GAGCCCTAAAACCATCAAAACCACACCCACATGAGTTTACGGCCATAAACTCATGTATGTGTGTGTTTTATGGTTGTAAACTCTTTAAAATGTTTACTCTTGGGGAGTAAACTCAAGTCCCAAGTCCCTAGTGCCATTACAAGTCCGAAGATGTCACCCGGGTCACTCCGAACACTCGTTTTGAGGTGTTTAACCTCATTGGAGTGTAATGTCCCATATGATTAGTGAATGTATCTCTAATTGTATATATATGGACATTATATCATTTTACATAGGATCATCGCGAGTAATCAAACCCCGAACCAACGTCTAGCATTCAAAACCGACACGTTTCCGAGTCCGGTGAGTTCATACCCCTACCCTTTTTCACTATTTTCCACTGTTTTCAAGGGGGGGAACACAAGCAAAGTACAAGGGAATTCTTGTACTCAAAACATGTTTTCAAATGTGTGTTTCATATTCTTATGCTTTTATAACTGATATTACAACTGATAACAGATCGAACATACAGATCAAGTAACATATATTTGTGAATTAAGTCTTTAAACTAGTATGTTTTACATGTATTTCACAAATGGTTTTCCACATTTTATCAGTTAAAAGCACGACGTTAAAACATTTGAACATAATACTTGTACACTGTTTTGTCCTCGATAACACTCCCCACACATATACGAGTGGAGGACTATCATATTATTACTAGTAAATTTGTTATTCCTGTATGATTGGAGACACGTCCTCGGAGAACACTCCACCCAGATTACGCGAGTGGAGGACTACACCCATAAGCAGAATCTCTGGTATTTAGAGAGCGTGACTTGAGTGTATAGATCTATACGGGGCTGACTACCCCACACCTGGCTGCTAGCTACAGTCGAACCGAAATGGTTCAAGGGTGACGAAAGTCATAAGTATGTGGACGACTTATTGCCACATGTGCACTACTTATTGCCACAGGTTTCAGTCTATTGTATGGTTATGGAACTCGCAATTAGGATAACAGAGATTTACTTACAGTAATAATGGATTACTTTATACATCGTTTACATCTTTGACATCTTTTACATCTTTTACTTACTGTAACCAACATTCAGGAAGGTACGGGACTTTCCTGGGGAAAACATAGAACCTAATCACGATTACATCTTTTACATCTTTAACAACGTTACATTAGATACATACATGCAGGAAAGCATGGGTCTTTCCTGGGTAACATTTACATAACTAGAAAGAGTAACAAACTGGATAACATTACATCTTTTACAATTTGTAACATACAATAAGGAAAGCATGGGACTTTCCTGGTAACACATGATAAGTAAATAGAATAGTTCAACCAGTCAGATAACCAACTATACATTTTCACATGAATAAACATATTTTCAGTGTACAAACTTACTATACTTTACATTTGTGAAACAATAACCAACTTTTAAGAAAATACAGGTTTTTCTTGGTGTACATAACATTTCAGAACAGAAAGGAAATCGATACATTTTCATAAAACAAAACCGCTTATGAACTCACCAGCTTTATGCTGATTTTCAAACCGCTTGTGTTCTCAGGTCAGCGTTAGAACAGGTACCCGAAGATCCTTTTGCTCGAAGACGGTGTACATGAAGATCCGTTCCTTTTGTTTATATATATAATGTATCACGACTGTATAAACTTTACTTTTGAAACAACTGTAAAACTTTTATTATGTAATGTAATGGTTGCTTTACTTTACTTACTATGTGCATTGGATTTGATACTCAACGTGGTAGTCAACCACGGAAATGTTTTCCGCCTTCGGTTTTCGGGGTGTGACATTATCCTAGTCTATATAAGTATTTTTGTATTTGGGATTTTGTCAAACAATAACCGAACGATATGACTTGAACCCGCCTCCGTGAAGCACAATGAAAATTTTTTGGTGCTTGTTGTCCTAACGAAGCTTCATCGAGTTTGTGATAAAAAGAGTAAAATAAAAACAAGAAGTTGTCGTCAAATTTTGTTTCGACAAACGATAGTTGTAGCTAGCAACCTCAGATGGGGTTGTGTCAACTCGTATAGATCTATACATACATTCTTTGCTCACAAAAGATTAATTTTTATTACAGATGACTTCACTAAGTTGGTGTCTTAGTTTGATGAATGAGAAACTTCCACAACAATCCCACGTTTTTGTTACAATTCCCATTTGTTTATGTTCGGAAACCTATTTTAAAAGTTCAATTACTTTTAAAATAATCAAAATGGTTTCCTGTCCAAATTTTGAGAGCACATTGGCTCTAAGTAACCATAACCAACACATTTCTAATCATTTATACCCTAATAATTTTCATATGATTATTTTATGAACACCTTATTATAATTAACATCTTTATGTCCTTAAAGTGTGTAAATTAAACAATGTCATAAGCTGTGTTTCTCTTATCTACAACAAGTCTTTATTTATGTATTTAAAGACTTATAATCACTTATAAGTTTTTATGAAATGTTTGATTTAAAATCATAAGTTTTCATGACATATTTGATGGTTTTTCATGCATTAACTATAAATAAGAGTATTATTTGAACAAAAAATTTCATGTAAAACAGAAAGTTGCCATAACACCAATATGACATCATATATATATATATATATATATGTGTGTGTGTGTGTGTGTGTGTATGTATATAAACCTAAATAGTATGCTTTTAAGATTAAATCTACTTTATATGTGTACCCCCCCCCCCCCCGAAAATATTAAAAAACAATAAAATAGGGCTGTAGATACTCGTGTTTGTCGTGTGAAGTTATTCGGTTTGAGAAGGATTTGTGAGGTTTTCGGTTCCACCCAAGCTAGTGATTTGAGTACTTTTTGGGATTTATTAAAACATACAGACATATATTTACTAATAATTTTGATGTTTATCAAGCTTTAACACACTTAAACAAGTGACTTTTATGGCAATTGGAAATAGTAAAGTCAAAAAATTACCTAGCTTTTACTTAGATCTAAAGTGTATTTCCAAAAGGAGGTTGAAACCCATGCTTTTTGAAGGATGAAAGGTAAATATTTTTGGGTTTAAAGTACTTGAAAACAACAATTTATGGGCTGCTATGATTCTAAAGATGGACAACAAATTGGAAGACTTTTATGGGTTGTTTTGATGCTCGAAAACAACCACTATTTTGGGTGGTTCTTGTCTCGAAATTTCCAACAAAGAAGCCAGAAAAAGAGTGGTTTAGCTACTATTCTGAGTACCTACTTTGGAGCCTAAAAAACACTAACTTCAGAGGTGATTTGAGGTGAAAATACCAAGCAAAAGGAATGTCCAAAGGGATGAAATGGTGGTTGAAAATCGAGGGGCAACAACCTTCTTCTTGCTCTCAGTTTTAGTGGGTTTCGAAGGGGTGTGTGGGGATGAAAAATAATGATGTTTGAGAGCTTTTCTTGAGAAAGTTTTTTTTTGGAAAAAGGAAGGAAGAGATGAGAATGAGGAGAGCTCGAGATTTATAAGAGAAGATGAAGGAGGATAAGAACTAATCTTTGGTAACATTTGATGTGCTCACATCGTGTGTATATATATATATATATATATATATATATATATAATAGCATTGTAATTTTTATGTATTGGAAATTAAATGTTTATATTTGAGTTTTTTTATTTATAAACATTTAGGTACATTTTAATTATGCCTCATAATAATCTATTTTATATTTTCATAAATTAAATATAGGTTGATTGAACAAGATATAATTTTGTGATATTTAGCTGCTTGAGAAATATTGCTAACCATGTTCCGTTGTTTTGGTTCGTATAATTTTCAAATTTCGATCCATCACAAGTATTAGGTAGAAGTTTGAATATAGAATTTTAATTACTCATAAACCGTAGACGTGTTGAAATAATAATTAAATTTTGCGTTTGAATGACGTTATTTGTTAGATATCACGAACCGTTTTTAGTTCGAAATAATATGTCGTAACAGAATTTATCAATAGTCACTAGTTTTATTTTCACAAGATCATTTCCAAATAAAACATGTTAAATTCAACAAACCATTTTTGATATTGGTTGAGTTAGAATCAGGTGGAGTGTGCTCTCACGACGTAACCAAGGGCCGGTCACAATATAAGACTTAATGTTGGACAATATTGGTTGTTGACTTTGACTTTGAACGTTAACTTTTGGTATGGGTTGACTTTTGGTTAAATTTCTATTTTTAGAAGGTAGGTTTAAGGTTTACCTTGTGTGGGTTATTAGATGGTTTTTGACACTCATTCATTGGTTGGGAGTGAACTCTTAGATGTGGACTGAGTTGAATTTTTAGCACATCAACTACGTTATGGGTTACCTGTAACTCACTACCTTATGGGCTACTTGTAAATCTTCTCCCCTATTATTGCACCGCGGATTACTAGATGGGCGAAATGGGAACCTATTTTTACATACTCAAAATAAACAAGTTTGGTATTAAAATGAAGAATAAAATGAAATGAGACATGTTAAAGAAAATGGGTAATAAATAATTTTATTGACTGAAACAAATGAAAACGCATGTGTTAATTAATCTCAGGGCCATGTCAAGAAAATGGATTAGAAAAAATATATTTGGTATTTATAACTATTTAATATTAGTGTCACTTCTAAAAACAATATAAACAATATGATTATTTATACATATGTGAAACATATTTTAATTAAATATTTATAGGTCAATGTTATATAAATTTATAATTAAACAAATGATTTTATGTACAACTTTTAAATATTTATATAAACTAATTTATATTAACTAGTTATATTATGGATTGTGGGCATGAGGATATTAAAACCAAATATCTTGTAGAAAATGCAAAAAGAATATCATGTATAAATATTCCCATTCGAATTTTAATACCTACACACAAGCATGTATTGATTTGTTGGATTTCTTTGTACATTCTATTTATACCTACACACAAGCAACTTAATTTGTCCGGGTTAATTTTTAGCAATAATCACAATTTTTTTGCAACGATCAAATGGATCTTCATCTATGGATTATAACGAAGATGATGGTCATTTTGTCTGAAGTAATTTTCTTGCTTAGAGTTAGTGATGCAACTCAAAATGCTAGATTTGATGAAAATTATAAGATAATTTGGGGAAATCAGCATGTTCAACTTCTTAATCAAAGGCAAGAAGTTCAGTTGACATTGGATAAATCCTCAGGTTTTCTACTAATTCATATATTTTGTTTTCTGAATGAATAATCTTTACTTGTTTTCTCAAAGTAATTATTTAGATTTTATATTAAATTTGTTTTATCACTAACAAAAATAATAATAAGTTTACATAACCATATTATTCTGGTTATCAAATATTCAAAAGAGAATCATATATATATATATATATATATATATATATATATATATATATATATATATATATATATATATATATATATATATATATATGATAAATAAACTCCATCACTTTTCGAAATATTAATTTGATGAGTTTGTTTAGTAGGATCCATTATTTTGTTACTATATAGATGAATTTGATTCAAGGATTATGATGGAGTTCTTTACTTTTCTCACAATTTTGAGAATTCTTTTTAAGATGACTTGTTTTCTATGTTACGTACCAATCGATCAAGTCTTTTTGACTAAAAAGTTAAGGTTAATCGTAGATATGACAATTTTTTTAGATGTTAAGAAAATTGTAAGACCATATGTCGTTAGAATAGATAAGTCACGAACCACGAACACTTCGACTTCGACGCAACAAATTTACATTTCCTAAAATATTGTTAATCCTTTTATTTATGTATTTTTTTTCTACTTTTTAGAGCTTTATTTTTATCGGAAAAAATAAATATACCAAAATACATAAATTCCATGATCTATAAATACACATTTATATCGATACATAAACATAATAAATTTAATCAATGTGGTCATTAACAAGTGAATGATCACTCCATCCAACTTTTACACTTTCACTGTAGTCATTCATAGGTGAGCGACAAATTTCTTTCATATGTGAATCTATTCAAATTCACATGAAAATGTCATACAGTTAAATCATTGGCCTAAAGAATACACATGTATATCTACACTTTTACTCATATCTACACTTGTAACATGTACTTATAAATTTATTTGTAGGTGCTGGATTTGGGTCAAAATTATACTTTGGATCGGGATGCTTTCAAATGAAGATTAAGCTACCGGCTAGAGATTCCGGTGGTATTGTTACTGCATTTTATGTATGTACAAATGCTTTAAACTTGTCTTCATAGTTTATATATATATATATATATATATATATATATATATATATATATATATATATATATATATATATATAAACCTAACCCTATACAGATATGTTATTGCTTGAACAACAAATATTGTGTGGCCATATGATAATTGATATTTAACAAGAATTTAATAAGAAAATAATCTTGCAAGGTAATGAAAATATGAAAAATCAATTAGTTTAAAAAATTAAATCATTTATAAGGATAGTACGATCTTTTTATGATGGCTTTTTATAATTCTAATTTTGTTATAATAATATTTGTTAATATAATCTTTACAAAGGAAAATGCGTGAGAACAAGAATAAAAGAATAATAACGAGAATGTGTAACCGAATCATTCTCATATAGCACTTGGCACACGGTTACACAATACTTGTGTGTCTTAATATAACATGCTTTTATATATATATATATATATATATATATATATATATATATATATATATACACACACACTAGACTTATACCAATACGTTGCACATGATTAAAATAATATGATTAATATATATATATATATATATATATATATATATATATATATATATATATATAATTAACCTATAAATTTTAGATAAAACTTTATTTTCATCACAAAACTCGAATAGAAAAACATAATTTCATGTTCAACACAATAATATAACCAATATCTAAATTTTGTATGTGATTTGTGTATGGAGTGTTTACTAAAATGATTGATCATTTTTATAGTAATGCAATATATACATAAGTAGGAATACAAAAAAATATTAGTAATTTATAATTATTGTAGTAACTGACAATAAATTTGGGAATATTAAAATGTATTGCTTTCAAATCTATACGGTTTGAAATAACAATTTTTCTCTAACCACACGAGTTTGGATGGCCCCTTTTGTAATATAATAGATGAATGTCCTTCCGTTGCGCAAATTAAAAAATATTGTTTAAAATGGTTATGTTATTTACATAAACACTGACGTAATAATTATTCAACTAACTTTGTATATAATCAAAATTCTTTTGAACAATAGTACTCAATGGTCTCTACCCATTGCTTGCACATAAATAAATCAGAATATGATTTTTGATTTAGTGTTATTTTTAATAACTTTTATGATTGATTAGTTTAAAATTTTACTTATATGACCATTTCTAATTTTGATAATAGATATAGATATAAATAAATTTATGTTTCATTTTAATTATTATTATAAAAGAAATAGTTTACTGATAGTATTTTAATGGATTTGATAATTTGATTGATGTTTGTATTCAACACGATTAAAACATTTTAACTATTTAAAAAAATTGATTGTACTTTAAGTTTATTTGAGATCTAGGTTTTGATTTTAAATTTTATATGTATTTAAATTAATAAATTAAATATATTGTATTGATAATTTAAAATTTCTATATAAACATTGTATTTAAACCATATTTAAGCAAACCAACTAAGTATATTAGAATAATATTTCAAATAATCTACCATATTAATGATAATATTTTATATAATAAGTTAAACAATGTTGGAAGTTGAAAAGAGATGGGTTTGAAATCAATATATTATGAGTATATATACATAAAAACACACACACACATATATATATATATATATATATATATATATATATATATATATATATATATATATATTAGTCCAAGAAAAAAACTATAATGCAATACGTAAATTGCAAATCCTTCAATCACATGAATCTTTTTTGTGAGAAAAAAGTACTAATATATATATATATATATATATATATATATATATATATATATATATATAAAAGTAGAAAATATAAAAAGTTAATGGAAATTTAAATGCTATTAATTAACTAATGTACAAGGTAATTTAGGTTTCAAATCAATATAGTTTAATAAAGTAAATTTTATCTAATCACATGAGTTTGAATGCCTTCCTTTATAAGGTACTAGGCGAAAAACGTACAAGAATACAATTGAATAATTAAAAGAAAAACATTTACCAAATTATAATTTAATATTTCTATGTTGAAACCTAATGTTATGTGTAAAACAAACTTATAGTTAACAATTAGTTTTATTAAACATTATAGTTATAACTTTTAAGTCATTGCGACGTATACCACTATTTGATAATTTTATAACCCATTCAAAATTATGTAAATTATATTTCAAAAGTATGATGATCTATATATAATGAATAACACAAATGTATGAAAAATAAGCATTAAAACTTTTAGTAGCTTAAAAATACTCAAACATCCACTGTAAATTTATATTAAGAAACTAAGAATAACAAAAGAAAAATAAACACCACAATCTTTAATAACATAAAACACTAAAACGTCTATTATAACCTATGTATTAGCTCTTCATATTTGAATCACAAATATCTTTAAAAACATAAATCTTTTTATTGAGCAAAACTTTACAATGTTATAAACAAAAGGAAAAAAAGTTATTAGTAATTACTAATTAATAACTATAGGTTGAAAACTATTAATGGAAATTCTTGATTTTTTGTGAGAGTTTCATGAAAGGAAAACAAAAAGTTATTATTTATTACTAATTAATAATCATAAGTTAAAACTCTTGAGTTATGACTAATAAATATATATAAGTTACAAAACTCTAAGGTTTTAGTGTGAGTTTCAAATGAATGTAGTGCTTGGAAATATATTATTATTATTATTATTATTATTATTATTATTATTATTATTATTATTATTATCATTATTATTATTTCACATACAAATAATTCGTTTGATGCAACATTTTAATCCTGTAAAATTTTAAACCTAAAGATATTTATTTCTAATTTTATAACATACTTAGGTGGATATATACATTTAACAAATCACATATAATCTATATTTTCACAAATGTTATATGTAATTTGTGTCGTAGTAAGTTGAAAAAAAAACACTTTCATATGAATAATATATCACGATAAGTCAATCATAATTAGATATATATATATATATATATATATATATATATATATATATATATATATATATATAATGTTAAAAATGATGTTATCTTTTAAATGTTGTCTTGTAAATATGTTTTAAAGGATAACCCAACAAAAAAATAATGGAAACTAAATATAATCAAAATAGAAAAACTACAATTAAATAAATAAGAAATTGGATGATTCAATATACATAAAAAAGCGATTACATAAATATACATTTGAATCCAAAGAAATAAACTTTCGTTCGTCTACTCTGGTAAAAAAAATTATATTCGTTTTTTTACTTTTCTTTTTTCCTTTGACACCATTCAACCATAAAAACTTCATGACAATTGTTTACTAACCTGCAATCAAAATGTTTTTCTTGACAAATAAGATTTATAAAGATGTTCGAAGCAAAATATTGATGTTTGGAGCGTCACATTCAAGATTTATTAATACATATAAATCACGTATAAAGATTACATGAGAAAAAGAGTATAAAGAAACAATAGAAAAACTTCACTTGTTTTGCTTGAAGGGAAAAAAATCATATTACAATTACCATTTGTAATGCCATAAATTTTAAATGAACATATTATCTTAACATAGCTTCAATAACCTCTAATATCCAAAAATCCAAATACTAATATCATTATTAATAATAATAGCGAAAACAAATAAAATTAAAATAAACACTTGGTGTGTTACGTCTTCCTCAAAACTCGTCGTCTCCTTTTATTCTGAGCATTATCCTTCTCCTTCCCGCGGCCACTTGCTACATTATTTTTTGTGTTGCGTACATTTAAAGATTCTAATTGGTAAACCTATGACCTAGTGAGTTCGTATTGCAGATACATGTTCATCACTTAAACAAATAGTTTTATCACATATCTTCAGTAAATTATACAACAAAATATATCATCCGATGACATAATTTAAGGTAATGATTAATTATCGATAAAAGAACTAGTGACTCGTTTCCCTTCCCCTTGGTACAACCTATCAATTGTACTCAAGAATTTAAAATATGCAAGAAAATTGGTATCATTCTCCATTCTCATCCCCACTGATCACACACATTCGTCATCCAAAAAAGCACCTGTTTCCAATAAATATGTCATCCAAAAAAGCACGGTTGATAACAAATCAAAAATAACATTTGCATGCAACTATACTTATCATAAAACATACTGTTAATAAATAAATAAAAACCACATAATAAACATATGATAAATATTTATGTGCAACCAACTATAGAACACGAAAAAAAAAACTCACAATGTAACCGATGCTTTGTTGTTAACTTGCACCCTATATTCCACCAAACAAATTTTCTAAAGCAACATCCTAGAAAACATCATATGTGATTGTTTTGATTCCAATATCCATATGTTGCGTTCAGTCGAACAATAATAATCATCCATTTACATTAATTAAAACGTTCCTAATAATGTTAGTAGAAGTACTATACTTCGTTATATTAACATTTTCAAATTAATAAAATTTCACTCTTAAAAATAATACTAAAACAGTTGAACGTTGGATACAAAAATATTGATTTTAACAATAACAATAATAACTAGCACTTTAGTAAAATTTGCATGAACCATTGTTTTTGAAATACTTATTTTCGTTAACATGTTTGAATGAAATTTAAATTTTCAAAGTATTAACGGTTTACGGACCGTTTATGTAACTTTAGCTTTCAAAAAAAATAGTTATATAGGGGATGAATTGAAATGGATGATTTATAGAAATCTACGAATTATCAAACCTCGTAAATTCTAATTTGTTAAAAAATATTACCAAGCCACTCAACACATCTTACATCCCTATATGCTATTTGATATACTTTACTATTTCCCTTTTGTTTTTAACTTAATTTTCTACAACCCACCAAAAAGAAAAAGACTCAAATATTTTCTAACTCGAGTCTCGACTATTCTTCATAAAAACTGCAGTTTGATTTTCATCAAAACCTTGATAAACAATTTTATATATATATATATATATATATATATATATATATATATATATATATATAGTCAAATTAACGACTATCGGCCAAAACAGACACATGAAGTGTAACTAAAACTTGTAAGGCTTGTATATAAGCTTACTCAACCAACCAAATCGAGCTTAAATCAAAGAACATACCTTAATTACAAACAAAATACCGAAAATCTTCACAAACTTTCTTCTCCGATTTTACCCTTTTTCACAATTCTAGTTGATTTCTCGAGCTCTTTACAATGCCTAAACTCTTGGACATTATAATCCCTTCAAATGCTCGGATTTATTTTGCAAATCAAGATGACAGTTTTAGGGTTTAAAGCTAATCACATCATTATTGCGACATAAACCATTTCTTCAACTCTTCATATTTGGAACTACATAAAAGTTTTTTGTGAGAAATATTACTAATATTTTAACCAAAAATACTTGAACTATAAGAAAGCTTTTTGAATCACAATAACTTCATGACGAATTTTTGTAAGAAATATGTACTAATATAGCCACATCTATAATGAGAGAATACAACCCATTATTGGAAATTTATAAATATTATAAATATTTTTAATCAAGGAATATAAAATGTCATGTAGGTTTAAAATCAATATGGTTTGAGAAAACCAAATATCTTTAACCACCTGATTTAGAATGACCTCCTTTATATATATATATATATATATATATATATATATATATATATATATATATATATATATATAAAGAAGGTTCACATGATAAATAGAATAAAGTGAGAATATGAAACTAATCCAAGCCTTATGGTAAAAAAAAACATGTGGTGAAACTTTAAAATGTCTATAACTATTCAAAATCATAACCATAAAAATTATTTTTCACTTGTAATATGATTAAAACCATAAATGAGTAAAAACTTAACCTAACAACCCTTAAAGATCAATGATTTATGCATATGATAGTATGCTTCTCATTATTTTGAGTTAATGTAGTTATTTCTAAATACAACTGTTCACGAAGAAATGGACTTTGAGTTCCTGGGAAATCGGCCGGATTTCCATTACTACAAATTGCTATGGAACGACCATCAAGTTGTGTACGCGTGTATCCTCTTTTATTGGAAATTACATACATCATATAGATATCGAAATTTAAAGGTTTTGTTAGCTTGATTGTTTCCAATGATCAAGAAAAGAAAACCAACCATTTTATAAACCAATATATTTACTAATGGTTACATTTTATATTCATTTCAGGTTCTTTGTAGATGACACACCAATAAGAGTATATAAGAACAACATAATTAGAGGTGTTGGGTACCCTAATCATACATTGCAAGTGATTACGAGCTTCTGGGATGGATCAAGTTGGGCTACTGATGGTGGAAAAACGAAGGTTAATTATTCAAATGCACCATTCCACGTCAATTTCCAAGATTTTAACATTGATGGGTGCATCTCGATGCCGAATAGTCCTAATAAGGATTGTGCTTCTCAAAAGTATTGGTGGAACAATAAAAAATATTGGCAATTGAACCCCCAACAACTGAAATCATTAGAAAATGTAAGAAAAAAGTATATGACATATGACTATTGTACTGATAAGAGTAGGTATCCTACCCCTCGTCCAGAGTGTAGTTAAAAATGATGGGTAATAATTTGTATTACATTAATTAGATATTTTATAACTATAGAAATAAAACTAAATGATTATGGTCTATCATTTCGTAAGATGTACAAATTAGGAAGGATAAGATTTCATATAATTTTTTACAATTTACTTTAAAGATATAATTACAACAATACCCCATAATTTAAAAGACTTTTTAGATTATAAAGTTCTTGAAAAAGACTAGGACGATTTTCAAAGTTTTTATGATGATTTATTTTTAATTGAAAGACTGAATCGCTTACTGGGTATGTAAAAATAAAAATATAACTCAAACAATTAGTAATTAACTCAAATACATATATTGCTATTTGCTAATTAACAACCCCTTTTTCATTTGGTGGTAATTTCCAAGGGATGTTGCTATGGATTTTCGGGGGATTTTGCTATGGACAGAGATTGTGATTTTTGGTAAACCATAGGGACCATTTATGTAAATTCGTTTTCATTTGATAACCAAGTTATATCCCCATCCAATGAGAGAATGCACAAGAGCATGCTTAATTGGTCTCCATTTTCTTTCATTGTCCCCTTTTCTTATCTGCTCGTTTTCTGTTCCTCTAGCCATATAAATAAAATGCCCCATCCACCATATGTAGGACATGCATAAGACAGCTCCTCATTGGACTCTACGTCTCACATACAGTTCTAAGATAAGATGGTTCTCTTCTTCCTAGAGAAATTATTTCCATGTATAGACCATTTAACTTGATGTTTCGAGCATGCTCCATATGCTCATGTATTAGGAAAGTTCTAACGATTCTATTTTATGACATTAGCTAGGACCCAAGTTGAGAACCGCAAGCGATACAAAGGATTGGGTAGCCACTGAATCAAACAACACCAAAACAGAAATATCGTTCATGAGGAACGGTCCTAAAATAAAACACATAAATATAAGTAGCAATTCAATATAATTAAAAGATAAGGAGAATATACTTACCCGTCACCACATCTAATGCCACGCAAGCCTCCTCGGCCGTCAACTGGAAAGCCCTGCTGCTCACCAAAGGCGCATCCATCTTAACGTGGCGGCTGTCAGTAATCCGAAGAGTTACAGGAGCCGGTGCTGACACTGGTCCTTCTGCAAGCAAATTCAGACAATGGGCCTTCTTGTGGCCCCTCCTAGCTGCAATGGAAGAAAATTAGATCAGATACCAGGGTGGTGGTGGTAGCAGTGCAATCCATACTAATATGACCCGTCCGGCCACACTTGAAGCAACCAGAACCACCCACCCTGCACAATACATTGTGCATCCTATTGCACTAGCCACAACAGCCCCAACCCTGTTGGCCCTTCACAGGTGCAAACTCAACCCTGAACCCGGTCACAAAATCTCTTTCTTGAACCCCATGATACAGGAGCCTCATCCGGCTTCCTCTTCCTCTCCATCTTGAAATTAATCTCCTTCTCCCTAGCCCTCGCTATCATATCATCTAGTGCCTTGAACTGGATCGGATCATAAACCGCTGAATATTGCTCCTCAACATCTCGTGATACCTCGCCTTCTTCATCTCCTCATCCGCCACATATGATGGAGATCTTGAAACTCTCGTGCCAACTGCTGCAGCTCAATCACCGGTGCAAACTCAACCCTGATCCCGGTCGCAAAATCATCCCATTTCATCATATCAATAGCCTGGTCACCAAAAACACGTCCCACCTCCCCCCACCAATCTCGTGACCTGTTTTTCAGAAGTCAAGAAACAAGTCTGACGTTTGCCTCCTCGGGGAAACTACTGGTATGGAAGGCGTTAACAACATCCGCTAACCACATCCTGCTCACTATCCATTCATTCGCCACATGATAGTTTGGAGCTCCACATGCCCAGAACTCCCTAAAGGTCAAAGAATGTGCTCCCATCAAGGCCACCATCTCAAAATGAATCGAGCTCAACCGATCATCCAAAATCTCTATAATTCCCTCCTTAACCGTACCAAAGATCATAGGAGTCTCCTAAAGAATGTAACGCGTAATATCAGATGAAATGCACTCC